AATATATCCCAATTAAATACTTTAATAGATTCTTGGCTTTCTCCACATCTCATTGCCATGTGCATTCAATAAACCCAAACCCCTTTTTCCCTAGTAATAAGAAGACTGCAAAGTGGGTGACATCATTCTCCAAAAGGTCAGCCTCTCCTAAACCGCTGCTTTCAGAGCAGTTGTAAGGTTCTGTTTGGGGGAATTTTTTTTTAAACTGCCTGCAGATCTGCTGTGATTGTGTCAAAAATGGTGCTTGCCCTTGTAAAGCTATGATGGCTTTTGGATTGCTTATTCTGAAAAAGAAGTTTTGTACCTGGGCCAGAGGGTTCACTGACAGAAACTATACGTCCGCCTCATTAGTCGGACAGCACAACGACCACTAAGGTCTCAGACCTGCAGTGACTTACTCATGCACTGCAGCTGAGCAGTGAGAAGCACAAATAAAGTTTGTGGATCACTGGTGTCAGTCACATCAGCCATCTGTGTGACTGGTTGTGATATCAGCCTCTCCTGTTTGTGGGGCAGCTGAAACCCTTCATTGTGTAAATTAGAAAGTCACGTAATCCCTGCATGAAACAGCTGCACCCAGGGCTCCAAGTATCGATTGTGTGTGTCACTGTGGCCCTTGCTCAACATATAGCTTGGGCCAAACAAACGAACAAAACACTACAATGCATGTCGAATGGGAGAAAGGATAATGTGGAAAAAATTATAATACCTTTAAATAATTGTATCATGTGGCTGCATCTGGAATACTCTGTGCAGACTTGTTTTTAAGAAGCGATTAAGGACCTGGAAATCCTCCCACTTGAAGAGAAACTGAAACGACTGGCGCTACTCACAGAGAAGCGCAGAAGGGGGACAGAAGAACGTGTAAAACAACTATATAAAGAAGGTGGATGGGAAGCCTCTGTTCTCCTTATCTGATAACATCCCACACAAAGAAAGGGATGAACTTCCGATTAGAACAGGAGAATCAAAGCTGCCTGAATGAAGAATGTTTCACATAGATGTGTCACAAAAATGTGGAAATCACTGTCACAAGAATTTATCAGGTACTCTTTTCTCTGTAAGATATATAAGCTGTAAAAATTTAGCTCTTGATCTTCTTTTTGATTAACAATGCAAACTCAGCTCTTATTCCCAGGAGTCTTATTCCAGCCAACAAATCATTCTACTTTTTTCCCTCCGAATTCTTTTCCAATTTCTTTGCACCCTTTAAAAATATGAGCAGCAAAAGAATATATTATAATATCAGTTCATAGCAGGAAATTGTCTCCCCAGTGTTTCCCACTATTCCTGTTTCTACACCCAAAGACTGCATGTTCCTTTCTATCACAGCTTTACACACACTGTCCACTTGCCCGTGTAGTGGCTTATCCACTCTGACCTCCAATTCCTTGTCAGTGCCAATGCTTTCCAGGATGCAGAACCTCACTCTGGGGGTATGTATGTCCTAAGTTTTATTCCTAGACACATGATCTTGTATTTGGCTGAATTAAAAGCCACTCTTTGTTTGAACGCATGCAGGCTACCAAGCAATATCTCCTATTCTGTGTGCCCTTGTCCCCATCATTACTGACCTCTCTGCCAGTCTTTGTGTGATTTGTATTTTTTACCAATTGCATCTTTTTTTTAGTTCTGGATTACTTAGTCCTGGAACAAGTCTCTGAAGAGCAACGCTAGAACTGTCCCCACTGGAGAGTGATTTCACATTTACTATTAGCTTTGAGATCAGTCTGCTACTCGTTTCTTATTCCATGCTAGTAACAACCTTCTCAGCAGAATGACATGTGGCATTAAGTTAAACGTTCTCCAAAAGTCCGTCACACCTATAGAGGTACTTCCATCAGTCAAATCTGTGATCGAATAGAATAATTCAGTTAGATTTGTTTGACAGAACTGTTTTGGAAAAGGTAGACAACTTTTCTATTTCATGAAAAAAAATAAAATGGCAAAAGAAAAGTTAAGAATCCATAGCAAACTCCTAAAAATCTATCTATAGAAATCCATCTGGAAAGCAACTCAGCACTATGTTCACCCTGCTAAAATCCCATGTTTCTGCCCAAGAAAGCATCATTTTTTCTACCCAGTAAGGAGGGCTCATCCTTACAAAATCAGGGCCAAATTCCCCAATCTTTACTGAGAATCTGTTCCAGCACTTTGCTAGACTTCATGCAACTGGAGCCCATTACTTCTTATCCTATCCACCACAGGCAGCATTTTATTTCAGCACCGTTATGCCTTCCCTCCTTCCCCTCCAGGCTGAAGAACCCCAGAGACATGTCTCATTCCTCATGGACAATGTTTCTTCCTAGGCAAGTGGCTATTTTTACAGCTCTCATCTTGGTCCTCTGCAGTATGTGTGCACTCCTCTTGAGTTGCAGCGGACACAGCTAGGCTTCAGGTAGAGTCACAGCAGAGATGAGAAGTGAGGAAGGATAATCCACACATCTCACCGTTTCTCCTGGAACCACAAAACACTTTCCCAGAGCCAGCCTTGTAGCACTCCTTCCTGGTTTGCCTCTTATCCATAGCCTAGCTAAAAACGTTCATTTCAGTGGCAATCACCAAGAGCTTCCTCTTAAACCAAATGCAGATTACGCAGAACTAGCAATTCAAGGGATAGCATGGAGACTTGTAGTTCCTCCAGGGCATGTTCAGAAGTGCTGTATATTCACCCACCTCTGCAGACAACAACATGTTCCATAATTAAAGTGCCTGTTTATTAAAATAATACCCCGAAAACTTGTAACTCAGTAATATGCAGGTGTATGAGATAATAGCATGCAGCTCAGAGCACCAAAGCTTATGATAGAGGAGGGGAGTGGGGTTCCAGACAAGGCCCTTGCATAAAGGGACTGGCGACAGCTCTGAGGATCTGAGGTGCTGCAGTTTATGCTGAAGCTAGTTATCAAATGCAAGCAATTTACTCACTTGTCACTCTAACCACAGAGTTTACATGCTCAAAAGCAAGGGAGCGAAGAGGCATGGACACTGGCTGTCTTAAGTTTGGAAAGAAGGATCACATGTGACTGAAGTCACCTCAGCGTTTCTTGCTCTTTTTGCCAGCAACTCTGAGGCCTTCAAACTGGCTTATTTGTGCTGACCTTTGGGGCTGTCCCAACAGCCAGGAATTAGAGTGTGTTTGTACCTTGGCTTTGTACCTGTTACTGAAGTCAGAGGATAGCTTGTTAAGCAGACACTGGAGAGATGAGCACTAGGATGAATGGTATATTTTGGATTCATTATCTTCAGACTGCTTTCTATGGCTAGATGCAGAGCTTTACAGTGTTGGTTCTGTAGCAAGTCAGTAATTTTTGAGACTGGCCTATAGACACAACTGTAGTTAAGGCCTGCCCTATACTTAGTGGTCTGCAGTGCAGTGGTGGTGGTCTGCACAGAACTGGCTGGTCACAGGGTACTGGCTCGCTTCCTGGTTTTTCAGATGCCAAACTATATTAAAACAAGCTAAAAATACATTAAATATTTTCCTTTCCTAATATTACCTTACCACGTAAGCAATTGCTGGACTTGTCACTAGAATGTTATCTGATAACCAATGGGAGGGGAGGGGAGCTGTGCAAGCCTGAATAGGAGGTAAGAAGGTCCAGCCAATCATCAGAGGAGGGAGGCTGCTTTAATGATCGTGACCAGGAGGAGAGGCTGTTATGTTTCTATTTAGACATGTGATGAAAATGTTTCGGAATCCCTGCTTTAACCCATCTTTGACCACATGCCTGACCACAAGTGCTGTTCAACACGTGCCTTTGAGCTCCTGCAAAACATCTTCTGCCCTATGCCGTGCTATTTAAGATGTGTTCCATGATCATGTAAAGAACACGCACAAGGAGTCTGACATAGCTGACAGAGGCTGGTCCTTGCTCCTTTGGCACTGTGAGAAAAATGGTTTAGCAGGTTACCGGGGTTTTGAGTTGTTTTACGGGGAAGCTATGGGTGAGGGACGGCCAGAACAGCGTTCTGCACTCACTCACCTTCTGATCCTGCCTCAGCAACAGGCAGCCCCTATGGCTACTGCCCTCTGGCATTTTCACATTCTTTTCAGCTGACCTCTCTTAAATTGCAAAACACGTCATCGCCAGCTGGACTCAAGGTTTGGAAGGAAGTTTTAGTTTAAAGTCAAGCTTGATTTGGAAAGGTTAGAGAATGTGGTCTGCTTCGCAGAGCTACATTTTTTTTTTGATTGTTTAACTTCACAGGCATCACAGTTGAAGATTGTTTTGTTTTTTTTCTTTTCTTGCACTTCTACGTGAATAAAAAAGAACTAAATTGCAATGATACTCCCAGTGATTGCTGTTTTTAGCTGGAAATAGCTGCAATGAAGTGAGTAGGGAAGTCCTATATGGACAAAAATACGGTTTCATAGCCTGAAGCTGGCGATGAAATCCCTACTTAACATCTGACAGATGTAAGGGGCAGAAGCTATGGCATAACATAGTATGAATAAACAGTAAAGACTAGGCCTACTCAATAATTCCATCCAGCCTCGTATGAATAGAAAGTATCCCCATCAGGGCCACAGGGTTTTGAGGGGGAGGTAGTGTGTTTGAATGGGAAGGCAAGCAAGCCGCATTTCTGGGCTTGCAATGCTTCTGAAAGACATGCACTCCTTCCACTTGTGTCACCACACAAATGGTAAACTGTAACTGCAAATGGTAAACCGTAACATGCTGGAACATTTCCTCAGTCTCTCTGTGCTCTCTTCATGTTCAATTCATGTCATGTACTTGACTGGTTCTCCCAACCCCATGGCTCCTTCCTTCTCTTCATTCTAGCTCTTATATACACTAAAGGTACCAGGGAGGTTAAGTGGCTGCACTGCACCTCACAAGATGTGAGCTGCCTACCATTTCCCAGTTGTCATCTTCTCTGCTCTATGTCCCTTCACAGCAGTCAAGAACTCCATAAGGTGTGACTCACCCTGGATGCCAGATGCACAACCGAGCATTTCTGCTGTCACACACTCTTCGTATACTATGTAAACTCACCTTGCTGTTTCTGCATGGTAGTGAAGTCTTCAAAGGTGAGAGTGCGCACAGGGGGCCTCCAGAAGGCATAGGTCTCCATGATGGCCTCCAAGCCCGTTCTTTGGGATGAAAAAAAAAGCAAGGAGAGAAGAATGTCAGTCAGTCAGCAAGCATATCTGCACTGGGGAGAGAGGGCTCTGACCTTGCTGGACAGGCTGCCAGCAGCCACTGAAAGGTCACCTTGACGTCTGTGAATTCCTCAAGCAAGCCTTCCCGCACGGGCGTTGGCCACTAGAATAAAATGGTATTTCCCCAGTCGAGGATTTTAACAGCTCCTAACACTACGACAGTGCCAGTGCTTTTTTTTTTCCTTTTCCCCTCCTCCTCTTTTTCTTTTTCAAAAAGGATCCTAAACTTTTCATCTGCTTTGCAGGAACCATTTAACAGTGAGCTACTCAAAGCATGTTTTACTATAGAGCTATTTTCCGTACTTTATAGGCGCAAGCTGTCACACAAACAAGGGAGGTCTGAGATTCAGCTTAGAAATTTGGAAGGAGAGTTTTAGTGAATTGCCTTTCCCCATCACTTTCCAATTCCACACGCTGTTCTGAAGTGCAACTGGAGTGCCATTCAAAGTGAATCTCACTGTCTTTGGATTTTGACTGAAAATACAGTAAGAGGCATTTTGTAAAAAGGTCAGTGGCATCTCTGCTTTCGGGCTCTAACTCACTACAAAGACAGTACTAAAGAGAAAAAGCAAAAATCAAGTGAGAGCATCTTTTCCTCTTAAAGGCCTTGGGTCTCAGCTTTGTTTTTATTTTCACCATAGCATGTTAGCTCTGCTTAAATTCTCTAACTTCACAAGTTCAGTGAGGATGTAGGTTCTTTATCAGGAAAAGTTGCTAATGTTCTTTATAGGATAATCACCTTGAGTTTTTTTGCAAAAAAGATTCTCCTCTGTAGAAGCTGAATCTTGCACTGTTCCCCATTCCGGTGTAGTCACCTTGCCTTTCCCTGCCTCTTTTCCAGCAGCAGGCTGTATCCCTTGCATTGACTGAACACAACTAGAGATGCTTCATTAAGTGTGAGAACATATCCCCTTTCAATACAAATGGCTCTAACATCCCCAGAGCCTCTCATCAGATGTTGTGCTGATACTGGAGCTGCCTTTTGCTTCTGAAAATGTCCTCCTGCACGTGCCTGCACTCACTCAGTTAACTTTCCAAAGTCTCCCCGGAAGCTCAGATGCTTTAAATACATTGGAGCTGGCAAACTAAACTCTGTATTTTAAGAGGAGGTTTAGAAGAGAGGTTATTGCATGGTGTTTATTAGCTGCTAAGCTGTTAGAAGTAGAAACAGAAGACATCTCTGCATAGCAGTCTCACACTAGCCCTGAGTACATTACAACAAAACTATTTGGTTAATACGATGGCCTTTGCCAGCTCATGGAGCTCAAAGGCAGCAGGGCAGCGCAGAACGTGAACCCATCTGCTAAGCCAGGGTCTATGTGCAGGAGCAGCTTGTGGACTGCCAGTACCACCCCCAGGATTTCCTCTGCTCTGAGAAAGTCGCACGTGTGCTGCTCCACCTGCTTCTCAACGTACAGAGCTGGGGAGAGAACGGCACCTTTCCACAGCCTCATGGAACAATCCCCAGTCTGAAGGACAACTGCCTGGTGCAATATATCCAGGGAGCATGGAATTGTCCTGAGCAAGTCAATACAACAAGACCTGCTGTCGGAAGAACCTGCCCTGACAGTTAAAACCAAGTGGTATGTCAAGAAATGCAAACTCACAGTTCCAGCTGTGTTCACGTAGCTGTTTTTTCGCATCTGCTACAAGGAAGGAGGACACCAGCTCACTGCAACCAGCATTTACACAAAGTCCACTTGAGCTACTGTCCCCGTGAGATCCCTGTGCATATAACCCCATTCTGCACATGCATGTGACTTTCAGCTCTGCTCTCATTACCCCATTCCAGAAAAATCCAACCCCTAACAGGCTAAGGCTCAGGGAAGCAGTTAGGCAGGTTAAAGCTGTTATCCCTTCCTCTGCCAGGAGCCTGCCTCATGCAAAGCTCAGCTTGACTCACAGTCCAATTTCTAGCTCTGATCCCACAACTTTCCCCTGTATCAGTACAGTTCTAGCAAATACTGTATAATTTGTATTTCTAAAAGAAAAGTGTAGAAAAATAGGAAAAAATAAAAAACAAAAGAAAGAGCCCAGACAGAGTAAATGGCAGTGCTGAGCATACCACAGCAGCCTGTAAAGGGAAGTGAACATCTTCATATTCCTGCCTTATATGCCAGAGAAGGAAGGGATGACTCCAGGGATCCACCTCTGCTGCATGCTGCTCATGTGCCTCCAGGGAAGCAGGTTAAGAGCAGCCCCTTTGCTATGGATGTGGCTCCTGCCCCTTCCTCCACACTGCAACTATTGGCAGCAAAGTTTTGACTTTGCTGGATTCATAGACTGACATGTAATTCTCTGGACAGTGCTACAGCCACAGGTATCTAAAGACTGGCTGCCAAATTCCAAATTTGGCTTAAAGCCACCTCTTTGCTCTCTCTGTCCCAGTTGAGAGTCCTTTTCTCTCCCAGAGGTGTGCACAGTGCTGCACATCTTGCACGTGCATGCAGGAACGCCCTAAGTGTACAGGTGACAGATCTCAAAGTTACGTCCAGCTGGCCTACACACAAATTTAGGCCCTAGATCATCCTTTTTTCCTGGGATTTTTTACCTTGAGCAGACCAAGCATTGCATGTGTTTTTGAAATAGTATCTGAACAGAACGTCTTCATATGGAATTTTCAGGTTCTTCAACACATAAGACAAGGTCTTAGAGACAGCAGCCTCCTGTACTACCCTGCTCACCACTGACCACCTTGTCCATGGAGCCTTGCAGAAAAAGAACGTGCAACCAGGCAGGAAATAGCTTGGGTCAGAATGTGCACCAACACTGAATGACTGATTTTGCAACTCTATCCCCCGTTCTGAAGTATATTTTCTTCTTTTGTCTGTGATGTATTATTATTTTCATAAGAAAATGGAAAAAAAAAAAATCAAGTAACTCCATCGCTAGCTACTCTAATAACTCTTTCTCCCAGAAGAGGCCATCAAATGGGTTTCCTCCATCGTATTCAGAGCCACATCACAGATCTCCACCAAAGGACATAAAGGTAGCGCTCTCCTAATCAGCAGAAACCCCGGACTGCTAATCTGCATGTGTACCAGTCTCTGAGGGAAAACATACCCCAATTTGCCAGTGCAGAGACATCTTGAAGCAGCAGTAAATGTTGATTGGAAAAAAAAGTTCTTTTCAGCATTTCTGAGATCTCAGCAACTTCTTCAGGGCTTAGGTGAGGGCTGCTGGTACCAAGTGTGCTAAACAGTATCCATGTGGCATCAACTTTCTCTTCCACAGAACTGCACTGAAAAATTGACTTCAAACTCTCTATCCAGCCACAAAAGCTTCCCTCTCACACCATCTTTATGAAGGAAGTAAAAAAAGCATCAGAGAAGGACTCACTGCCAGCTTTATTTTAATAAGGTCAGTCCTTTAAAAGGTATCCAAAATTCACTCTCTCTTTTTCATTCATTTTTTTATTTTTAGTGCTATAAAGTTTTAATAATGGGCAATAAATGAAACAGTTCCATTGTCTGAAAAATGAAAAAAGATGTACGAGTTATCTGTGCACCTCCGTAATCCATCCCATATGGCTGACCTTGCCATTCCTGCCGCATGCAGGATTCGGGTCATCCTTTCATTGTTCACTAGGGAAGCCAAACTTTTGGCTCCAAGCACCCTCCTGGCTCTCTTACTCGAGACAAAAGGTCTAAGAGCATTTCCAACACAAACAACTTTTATTCACCTCAGCTGCCCACATCTGAAAGGGGAGTGCTGTTGCCTGCCTCCAGCTTAGCTTTTTATTTCCATCATTCCGCTGTGTTTTCAGACTCTTGTCCCTTCTGGCTTCCTCCTGGATAAGGAGCTCCCCTAAGCATCCCACTGTCAAATGAACTTTACTCAGGCTGCAAAAATAGCCCCCACAGCCTATGCCTGCGTGCTCACTACCCAAACACTTCACTAGTTGATCTCTGTATGTCACAGAACTTTTTAAATGGAAGTCAAAACTCCATCTCTTGAAGTTCTGGAAAGCACTCAACTCACACCTGACTCGTATGTATATTGCCCATTACAGAAGCACTACTTTTCCCTTAGCCACCCTTGTGAGACAGGACAAGTTCTCCTGTTTCACTTTTACAGATGGAGAACTGAAACAGAGAGGGACCAAATGACAGGGTATGTCTAACTGAAGAGGGTACTAAGTCCAGGCCCTCTAACTCCCTAATCCATCAAGACTGATGGCTAGACTGCAACTGCTCAAAGATTGCAAAAGAGCATTCAGTTGCCGGGCTCTTCATATTGTTCCCTGAGAAATATTTTGTTCCTCCTTCCTGCACAAGCACCGAGGCATTCAGCTATGTAGGGACATAACCATGAAAACAGCTGAGAGAGACCCACGAGGGGATCCAGGAGAAGATCTCTTCCTCAGATAGATACAGGCAGTTACATTTTTCTGAGGGGTCCCCACGCAGCAGTTTTTTTAGCATTCTCCAGTGCTAATGAAGCCAGACCACATCCGTAAGAAATGTGTGGGGAGGCTGTGAACTGACGGAGGACAGAGGTTTAAAATGGAGACTAGTTTTGAAAACAGCAGTCAGCCCCATAATTTCTGCAGCAGGCAGCAACAACAAAGCAATAACAGAATAAGAAATGAGTGAAGGAAAAACATCCATGTCTGTTTCATTGAAAAGCCTCAACACAGGGGAAAAAAAGGAAATGTCTTAGGGGAACAGCTTAGGGAACAAGCGGTGTAACAGTTCCTCCTCTCTCATCATGCTCTGTTTTTTAATATTGCCTTTTTTTCCCCTTGTATCATTTACTGGAAAACTTTATCCAGGGCTCTAATTCAGCATCCCAATGTCACTAGGTTACTGTCTTCTGGAGCAGTCTCAGTCATCATTCTGTGGCCCCTACTGCTGTGCTGTTTGTTTTTTTTTTTTTTTTAAAAGATCTTATACAGAAAACCCCTCGGAAAGAGGGGTTCCCTCTTCCCCTTCCCTGCGTCACAAATAGCTCCTTTCTCATATTATCCTCTTTCTTTTTCAAAAGAGGCCTACATTTCCAGTGGGACGTTCTCCAGCTACAGTCTGATGTAGCTGACGAGTTGTTGCAAGGATGAGGGAGGCTACAAAATATCATGGTTATTACTCCAGTTGGCCAGTGATCCTGGTGAGACTAGAAACTTACTGAGGAAAGAAGAGCCAGCCAGCACAGTTAAGAAAAGTCCCATTTCAAGAATCTTTTCCCCACAAAGCTCAAATTTTAATGCCTTTCTTCCTCCCACGTGTGCCTGTGCACATCTATGTATGTGTCTTCGTGAAAGGGAGCAGCTAAGCGTTGCAGGGGGTGTCCCCAGCTAGTTGCGCAACCTTAGCCAGACCACTGCTTGTGAGGCAGACGCCTGACTGCTATATATGCTTGCAAATACCTTTGCCTGTTTTTTCTTCCTAAAGCCTCAGGCTGCTCTCTTTGATGTGTAATACCTTAAAGATTTTAATTCCTCTTTACATCAGTGGAGAGCCTTACTGAGCCCTCCCCACAGCTGCAGCCATGTAGCAATTTCCTGCCCTTTCTTAAATCAATGAGCTACAAAGATCAGTAATTCCCAACCTCTTCAGGAAACTATCCAAATTCACTGGACTAGGGCCTTATTAATGCCTTCCACGTTAATCTAGCCCACCATGTACCTGGAACTGCATCAATCTGTCTTCTAAGCCCAGGCTCCGCTGCAGCTGTATCGCTGCGTACAGAGAAGACCTTGTACACATGAGACATAAGACTTCCTCCGTTAAGGAAAGCAGAGCAGGGTAAAAGTCACCTGTGCCTCAAGTTCCAGAAGTAGCACTCAAGGCTGGGATCAAATGAGGATGGTAAATGTCTTTTCATATAGCTACACCAAGATGAGAACAGAAGAGCTCACCTAGTAAATCACCTAGGTTAGCGTGATCCTCTTTGTTACAAGTGACAGTGTAGCATTTACCCAGTTGATGGGAAACACTGAAGATTTGCCCATTCACTGAACACTTCCTCTGTGAAACCATGAATGAGGTAGTGGTCCTGGTAAAAACGCATGAGAGGACTAAGCAATTAAAGACTGAATTATAATACCCACGGGGACAGCAAGCGAAAGGTTGTGCACACAGTTTGCATTCTGCTCCGAACCCTTGGAGCCTTGCTTTACAAGCTAGTGTTCTTATAATGTATTCATCTGTGTCCAATTCTACAATTAATGTTTAAAACTTTTTGTCATGTTGATTTAAAAGGATACCCACACCATCTGCAAAACTGAAATCTTTAGATCTGTTGCACACTCTGCTGGCATCACAAATGGCAGGAAAATTTGAAACTTTTTTTTAGAACTAACATTTCTTTTTGATAGCACTGTAATGTCTTCTAATAATGAAAACTTTTTTGATTGAAAGTTCTTGTTTAGCTAGTGTGTTATTAAAAAAGAAATGTTTTAAATAATAAATGTGTTCTACTTCAAATTTTCATTAAAATCCTGACAAAATTAAGCCATACAAAGGGAAACAATCTGACATTACTAGAGAAAAACTGAAAAGGTCCTAAACTAGACAATTTTTGCACTTTTGCCCTGGAAACCTAATAAAAACTCAGTTTTTCTTCTAACGTAGAACAAACATCTGCACCTTAAGTTTTTGTGTTTCCTATGGAAACTAAAAGAAAAATCTACCTTCCGGCCAGCTCTACACATTATAAGCAGAAAAGTTTAATTTTCCCTTCCTACAGCTTTCACTGTTTTGCAAATTGTTAGCCTGTGACCTATTTGTCTGCTGTCCAGTCTGCAGCTATTTTCCATCCATCTTTATAAAAAATGTTTTCTATTTTTTCATTTCACTAGCACAAATCTTTCTGAGGGGAGGGAGAAGAAGCAGAGGTGCAACTCTCTACGGTATCTTTACAACAAATTTATTTTACCTGACCCCTTGCACATCCTAGCACTATACCAATAATACATAAAGAGTTTATTAACAATTTAGCAGGGATGCTGCAGGATATTATAATTATATTTTTAAATAGCAAGTCGAAAACCTCAAATGAACTAGAAGATAATAGAAATGAGCATAAAGAAATTCATTATGTGGCCAGCAAATACCGAGTGCAAAGCATATATACAGAAGAAAATACCCTTTAAAGCAGTGATAATGAAAAAGATACTGAGGTAGAAGTGTACAGGAAATTAAACCTACAATAGCAAAAATATAGTTGCTGCTTGGAAATGTCGTAAAGCAGGAAAGTGATAAAGCTATCTTTACAGATATCTTATCTAGGAATACCTAAAACTATCTCTCAATTGCAGAACCCATGGTACAGGCAGCTGGAAGAGAAACACTGGAGGAGATTTCTGAAAAGCAATTTCTGAAATTTCTGAAAAGCTGACTAACTAGAAAAGTATTTTCTAATGAAGCCATCATTACACCATGAATCTTTTAGACAAACATTCCTCTAACTACCTTCTCCTGTAAGACTGAATTAATATTGTAAAACGCCTTCCTGGACCTCAGACACATGCACAGTGTGCTTAGCAGGGGAAAGAGAGGAGACAGGATAAGGAAACACAAACAAACTCCTGTTACCTGTTTCTCCCAGAGTCTCTGAAACCTTTAGCGAAAGGGTTTCTGTCAATTTTTAACCTGGTGATCTACAAAGGAAGAAAAAGAGAATTAATTGATTTATTCAAAAAATTTTTCCTAGAGTGAAATTACTGTTGATTACCTCTCCTAAAACATCTATGCACTCTCTTTTCATACCTATTTCCCCAGACTTACATAAAAGTTACCTTTCCATTACCCATGAGCAGATCATCAACTCAGTGATTAGACAGTGCCATAAGCAGAGATATAGCACCTCAGGCCTGGCAGCATTGGGGAAACCTGGATGTACTGTTTGGGTCTCATTTTGGCTCTGAGCTTCTGCAGGGCACCAGGCTAGAGCTAACAAGCTCTTCCAGGATCAGCAGCATGGTGGATTTGGGTGCAAAAACAGGAGCTGAGCCCTCAACAGCAGCGTGGGTCTGCAAGTAGTAGTACTGTCCCAGTTTTGCTGTTATCTAGGGTACCCCAGCCCCAATACCCTAGGTATCTGGCAGCTGAATGTACTGCCTGATCTTCAAACAATGCTAAGCAGAAAAGGCGGAAGCAAAGCACAAGCTACAGCTTCCAAAACCCAGCAGCTGGCCACCCAGTCACCTACACAACGTGCTGATGTTCTGCTCAGCATCTGGGTGGCCCTTCAAGGGTTTTCTGCTCTGATTTTTTTTCTTTTTTCCTCTCCAAACAAAGAGGGCAGCCAGACTGAATGCTTTTTGGGAATCTCCCTTCCTGCTTTGTTTTTAAGTGTGAATTCTATAACGGTAAATTGACCCTGCAGATTGTGTAATTCTGCTCCCCCTCGCCTGTTCCCCAACCCGGTGCAGCAAGAGCAGTGACAGGAGAACTTCCCTCCATCAGCCTCACCTTGTCCCAGAGACTCCATCTCTGGGGTGAAAAAGGAGCAAGACCTCAAGATCCTATTGAATTCAAGGTATTTTTGCTAAAACTGCTCCAAGGGGAGTTGCTTAATGCAAACTGATCTAAAGAGGATTTGCAGGTGTTTTGCTTCTGTCAGAATCAACCCCTTACTCTGGATTTTAACCTCAGATCTGGAACGCAGCTCCCATTTTTGCAGAAGCTTAATTTGTGGACTTAATTTCCGCCAGTTTGACTTTGCAGCTGTCCTGGGACTCATGTATACTGAGACAGATATGTTCTGTGGAGTATGGGATTACAACAGAGGGAATCCCTGTGGTGGATTTGCTAGCATTTTAGAATTGTTTCCAGAGATGCTTCTCCCAGTAAGGCAAAGTTTTATGGCCACTGGAGGACATGCATGCAGATTCAGAGGATTTTAGATTTATTTTATAGTGAAAATGGTTCTCCAACCCAAAAGAGTTTCCCCTATTCATATTACAAAACTGCCGAAAAGCCTATTTGGAAGAAACTCCTAAGTGTTTGGAATTCAGAGAGACGGGAAGGAATTTCAGTGCTTCTCTACAGTCGTAGGTTATCTTCAGTGCCTCACGGAGATACCTCACTCAGCATCTAACCCCTTCCCTGTTAATTTTGTCTTACAGGTCTGTCCATTAAAGAAGATAACAGGGTACTTTCCTGTCATTTCTTCTCCTTCCTCTATCCTCTTTCCAGGTTAGATCTTCAGTTAAAAGTTTGGTGATTACATGCATTTGTGGGAGGGGAGGGAGGTGCAGGAAACTCCCAGTGGTAGCAAATGGTAGCAAATTCACTGTTGTATTGCATGAGTATTTTTCCTGGAATAGTTTATTCCATTTTAGATGCCAATTTTTAGCCAATTCAAGGGGACCTGACTGCAAAAAAGTCAGGAATAGGTATCCAGAAGCAGTCATAGAAGCACTGAAACCATGTGCACTTTCTCTCACTCTTCCTTTGTCCTTATTCTGTGTATACTCGTAAGGGCTCTCTAGTGGATTCCTCTTCTCAATTTCCTCCCTTCCTGGTTTTATCAGTGGAGACAAATGGGAAAATGTCACTGCTCTATACTTTGCCTCACTGCCTATATATAAGGAAAGGAATGACAGAGAACTGAGTCAGTCCACTGGCCACCATCCTTGTCTGCTCCCAGCCCTCAACTATTCCAGCACCCCTCGCTACGCTCCTACTGTGTGACTCAGCTTCATTCCAGCTGTTGTAGAGCCACCACAGTAGAAGCAGGACAGGCACCACCAAGCAGAGGGACAATTGTCTATGTCTCTCTGTGCTTGCAAATACAGGTAAAAGTGCTCCGGTTTCATTCATCTTTCCCTGTCCTGCTCCTCCTGCCCATACCTACAGGTGGAGAGACTTCACTCACTGAAGTCCCTCCACTGTGACGAGTCTAAAGCGGCCACCAGCTCTTCTCCCGCTACACTGTTTGGATGCCAAGTTGCATTTGAGCTTAGAGAGAATCCAGCTGACTATGTGGCTGGCTCCTGTGAACTGGATTTTTTCCACAGACTGTTCACTGGGGTCCTGGTTTAAGCAAAAAGACCTGGAATGGCTTTTCTCAAGGTGTTGCCAATTCAGCTCCTTCTGTGCCAAATCTCTTTTACTTCTGAACAGCTTCTCAGCCGGTTTAACATCATGACCACCCTCATTCTGACAAAGGCTCCACTCAAATCCTTTCTAACTTCTTCCTCTCTACCACTCAGGGCTTTCTGCATCCCTTCCAGTTTCTCTGTCCCAACTGCTGTGATTCTGCAGCCAGTACCTTCTGTCCCCTCTTTGGTTATGGACCTGTTCAATGACCAGATGCAGCACACAGACCTTGAGAGGCAGGAGGAAAAGGCAACAGAAATCTGTTCTCAGAAAGCCAGTTCTTCTGGGACGCTAACCAGGCCTGGGATGATAGGGACCAATTAGGTTTTGAAAACAGCCCTTTGAATGCTTTTCCCTATCAGTCACAGTCTTTCCGAAGACAACCTCATGTCTGTGCCCCATCTAAGGCTGTTGTTAGGATTACTGCTAGTTTAGTGCTATCAGGGCAAATGACAGCTTCTAATAGAGCATGGGAGTCAGTCAGACTTGGTCCCCAGAGAACTCACAGCATCCTGGTATGAATAAATAAAATATGGCATGGACCCTTTCATAGGCCCAGGTCATAGATTCTAATGGCAGAAAGACTCAACGCAATAATCTATCCAGACTGACAGGTTATCCTATAATGTTGGGAGCCATAGAAACTCAGTCAGGAATAACTTGCAGGACTGGAGCCCACCCAGGATTTGAACACTGAACTTCCAAAAGCAGATTTAAAAGACAACCTGCAGCCTCAAGTCTACTTAAACAGGCAAAGGATTGAGCCTTTTCCCCTCCTCTCCCTCTCCCCATGATACTATTCCCCACACCTATCTGTACATCTCTCTAGATGCTTATCATCTAAATAGTCCAGGGGTTTTCCATCTACGATTGGTGGACCTTCCAGAGTCCTCTAAAAAGTCCATGAAAGCTAACTAAGAGAAGTGAGCCCATTGCTAGTAACTTGCATTCAGGCCAATAATACTGTACAGTGACATTCCAGCTAGTTTATGAGGTAACTCTCTGCAAGCTTGGCTGCTGTCATGGAGAAGTGTGTTGGCCTCACCATTTCCACTTCAAGAGTCCTCAAAAATTTATGGTAGAAAATGATATAGTATGTTTTTCTGTGACAACAATATCTATCAGGTTTCTTCTTTCAAGCTGGTTTATGGCATCATTCTTGCTTGCGACAGTTCCTTATGCTCTATAATTCAACACCACGTTACTAACACAGCATAAAGTTTCACCAGCTGGGATTCTGCTTCACATGGTTGGGATAAAATTACCTTACACAGTGCTTCTATGCCAACACAAAACTCCCCGGTAAGGAGGAGAATGGGAGGGAAGGGGAATGGGCTGTGCACAGCACGTTTCATCTGAGAATAACAGAAAGCATGTGCATGCACACAAGAGAAAAGGAGCACACTGAGCTAAAAGTGTGACAGAGATAATGTGAAGATTACCAGGAATCTCTGAAGCAGAGGTGGCTGGAAGGTGAGTGGTACCCAAGGAGACTGCAGAGAGAATGGGTGGATACAAGGAGCTTGGATGTGTGCAATGAACATGGCATGCAGAAGCAATGAAGCAGGCAATACTCCCCTTTGAAGACCAGGATGCTATCTTTCACAGGCCACAAAAGAAAAGGGGAAGCAAATATGTCTAATCCACATTCCAGTCCTTGCCATAACTCAGGTTTTTTTTGCTAGTCTCAAATGCTTTCCTTCTTACATTTTCTTTTTTCCCCTAGCAATTAATTTTCTCTTGCAGACTTTTGGGGTATGTAGACAGGGAATTCTATAATTAAACACTAATGTGACTGAGATTGTACTTCTGGGTTCCATAATGTCTAGTTTAAAGGGAAAAGGCAGGTCAATAGTAAAGCTCAGTAGTCAAAGCCTCTGCAGATAGGATCTCACTGTGGCAACCTCTCTTCCCTTACCGTATCTGGAATCAATAGTAACTCTGGAAACTGCATGATCTGAATCAAATGTGAAATATGCATGAGAATTATCGTTAATGTAGAAGACATAGACTGCGGCTTATGCTCAAAGGCTTCTTTTGTCACCAAACTGATGCCATTTCTATTTTCCAAGAGAAAAACATTCACTGCTAAAAGAAATGAGAGATGTGTTTTTTCTGTTAGGTAACAATTCTAGATTAGTTATACGGCTCTAAAATTTCAGTGGGGACAGGACACTGGAGTTTCTACCAGAAGGCAGCCAGGTAAAGTGAACACATTACATCTTCTTGTGGTTGAACTCTCCTAGCTACTTTACAGTAAAAACTACAGGTACCTTATCTCCAAGATGGTTTTATGGCTAGATACGTCACGTCTATATGCAGCCCTGTAGTAAGCATTTTCTTTTTGTGCAGAAAAACACAGTGTGCCTGTGAAGTACACATACTCCTTGAGATACGTTTCTGAGAGAAGTTAATGTCTCATGAACAAAGAATACAGTTTTTTTGTTCCATGTAAACACCAGACATAAAAGAAGCTTGAAGGCACCCAGCCACAATTTTACCTGTTGATTTTGGTAGGCTGTCACGGTGGTGAAGACAGTCTCTGGGAAATTGAAGGTTTTCACCCCATCACCTGAAGGAACTGGTTTTGTTGGAGAAAGGTCACTGCTGAAATCCTTGCGGATGACATGAACACGGGGCTGGTATTTATGCATTGAGTGTAATATTATCTGAGGGGGAAAAAAAAGGAGAAGGAAAACTATTTTTTTTCCAAAATTTCTGCACTACACCTACAAGTACTAGAAGGAAGCAAGGATGAAGTAAAGGCTTATGGAATAAAATTACTCTTATCTTACAAGTATGTGTGAGACCCAAGTTCCTTCTACATGCACGTGCTACATCAAAGTAGAATTCCCCCTCAAGGAAGAAGAGGGCTTTATTGCTTTATAGAGCCAGGCAACATCTTGAGGAGAAGCACTGAAGTAGGGAAGGAAGCTCCAATACTCTCCGGGTAGACCTACAGGCACACGTGCCCAGCAGGACGGGGGACCATTAGAACAAAAGCAACGTCCTCTGAGTCCAAGAGGAAAGTGGCTAGGGAAGCAGGTGCTAGGATTAGCCTCTAACTTACATGGCCTTGATCATCAAGCTCGTTGTTGGTCAGTTTGAGCTTGTCAAAACTGACCACCTGCCTCATCCAGGTGTCTCCAGAAGCCAGCGAGTCAGGGTGGATGTAAACCCTCGGGGGCACAGGGGAGTCAGCATTGCCAGCCACCATCCACTTGGAGCTGTGATACACATACCTAAAAGAGAAATAGGGGAAAGTCTAAGGAAAAGTCGTCACTCATACACCAGAGGAACTTCTCCAGCGCTCACCCTCCCCAGCTACCCTACCACACACGCATCCCAAGCTCTCATTTGCAGTCAAGGAGGAAGATGCTTTATTACAACCTCCTACCTTCTAAATAAAAGCCAGATTACCTCTGAGCCACTTGCTCAGCCTTGATTCCTTATTAAAACCACCTTTACAGTTATTTTCCCTGTAAAACTCTGCCACATGTGCCTTTTCATCTCTTTAACTCTCTCTGAGCTGGAGTAAGAGGTTAGGAAATGCTAGTAAACAAAGCCCTCTCTGAAAATATTAGCAACTACTCTGCAATTTCTAGAAAACTGTATTGGCTGCCGTGCCAGACTGTACAAAACACACTTGTGTTCACCCAGAAATGGCAAAATCCAATGTCTACTACCAGAATGATTGATAAAACAGAGTTTCTGGTCTGAAAAGTTGTGAAGTAGGAAATTCCACTCAATATTGCAAATGTTAGGATTAGAGGGAAAAAATGTAAATGATCTTTTGTGCTCCTAAACTGGCCATCCTCTATATGCCATAAATTTCCCTACCACAGATCTGCCTAAATGCTTTCTCTCTTGCACCTCCTTCAGCTTTAGGCATCTCACAAACAGCCCTGCTGAGACCTGTGAGTCCTGCTCTGAGCTGCTCTTTCAGTCTCTACTCTGCACTGTTAAGGAATTTCAGTCCCTACCTACAACCAGTGATTTATTTCCTGTATGCATTCCTTTCAGTGCTAATTTGTTCTACCTGGCTGCATAAGCTAACAAGGACAGAAACAAAGTATCAGACAACATACTAATTTTCAACTTTAATGCTGCCAGAACCATACTCAAAGAAAGGGGTAAAACAAGTAGCTGAGTGTCGATTATGACTTTGCTGCTTCCCTGGAAAAGGGTGTTCCTGACAGCCTGCATGACCTGAGAGCAAAATCTAATATTTAGCATTGGAAGCAGAGGATCCTTGAATCCTTGAAATGTAGTACAGTCAAGGCTATTTGGGGAAAATACTTGATCTCAGGGGTCTTCTATTGAGTATAAATAAGTCACCTCTGGCTGGACAGTATTTTAGGATCCAGAGGACCACTAGTTTTCCAGAGCATTTTTAGGAGCCAGAGCCATTAATACTAGAGAAATCTTTCCTTCCTGTCTTTCAGTTCTTGGTGGAGATTCACCAAGACAGCATTTGAACCCGGTTTGTGACTCACAGTTCTTACGGTCAAATCAATTAATGGTCTAAACCAACAGAGTTCTGCTGTTGCCAGGGAAGCTGTTTCAATCTCCTCCTTTTGGGGATTTTACCAGTCTCCTCGCAACGGTATATAACAGTACGTGTTTCTCCTAGGCTTTCACTGACACTAAGGTATCTTAATGTTCCTAGTTCTGCACCTAAAATCTTACCTGTATCTCTTGTTATCCACAGGCACAATGTCCATGGCAATATAATACTGCTGGTGGGGATCCAAGCCTGTAATTTTCACTCTCATGGCTGGAAACATTCTCCTAGAAAAGGAAAAATAGAAATAAGGAAGCAAATGGTGAGCAAGGAAGCTGAAGGGGCTCCTGACATGAGAAACATGCTACTTGAAATCGTGCGCTTCTTGGCATGACTCCTCTGGGTTGGGTCTGGTAGCAAAGACTGTGCTGCCATCAGCATGAATCTTCAGATTTTTTTCCACTTAAGAAGAGGAATAACCGGTTAATAGCTTGTGGATAACAATAAAATACTCCTGGCCAAGTATTCTGGACTCCTAGCAGAGTTTTTCTATTAAGTTCCACACAAACTGTCCTTACAGTAAGGATTTTTCTCTTGGTTTTTCAATACATAGATGGGCAGTATACGTTATGCTTGGCCAGTTTCATTCTGTTCAGAAAGAAATGCTATGGCTTTTTTAACAAAAAATTATCAAGTGCTGTTATTTCTTCCTGATGTTTTTCCCTATTGACAGTCCCTCTAGTATTATTCTCTCATATCACTTTAAACGCAGGATCATTTTTGTTCTATTATTTTTTGAGGAAATCACATTTCAGTATGGAGTCTGATAGTACTAGAAGAATATTTAAAGCAAATCCATCTTCCTGAAGGACCTTCTTGCTTTTATATTTATAGGCATTACAGAAAGAATGTACCTTAAATGAGTCTGGTTATTGGACTGATATTTCACATTTAGCAGAAACACTGGCATCATAGTTTTCTTGAACTCCAGGTAGTCTTCTTTGCAAATTTTTTTTGTAAAAATTGTCTTTTCTGAGACATATGATCCAGTTCTGTCTTGAGCATTTTCACCCCATAGGCAGTGGGGGTGAAACTGTTCACAAGGAAAAATCAATTCCCCACCATTCTTTTCTTGTACTGAGCACAAGTTTGGTTCTGCTGTGCACTATGGTTCTGGAGGTGTTTGTCACTAGACAGTTATTTCAGAAAAGAACAGCTCAGACCAATGCTAATCTTAAAATATGTCAGTGTCGCTGTGACTATGGCAAAATTTTTTATTCTTAAAAACTTTCAGGTTGCCGGCAATCTCATTGCCATTCTTCACTTTCCTCAAACAGCATGTTGAGTGGATTACTTATGCCATACTATATTTGCAGCTAACACAGTATTTTGACACCTTCCTAAAATCTGAGGAGAAGAACTAGGTGAAATACAGAAGAAAATAAGTGCAGCAGCTGCAGGATGCTGAAAGAAATCCGGTGTTGTTTACTGACTGTTAATCAAACTTGAGCTCTTCAGTGTCTTCTCAGCCCTTATCTGAGGAAAAATCTCAAATTGAGCTCCCACAGGATGGTGTCATTCAATTAGGTGACTTTCTTCCCAAAGCATATGGAGCTTTGGTAAGACAAAACTCTGAAAATACTAAATGCTGATGTGAAATTACATTCTGCTCCTCTGATGTGTAGGTTGCCATCTCCTTACGGAACGTGGGTAGTTTGGGTGGAAGGGGGATATTAAAAGGGAGTTAAATATCATGAGTGGCTAAAATCATGACTCCAAAATTGTGGAGAAAGTGAACAGGGAAAGATTGTTCACTATTTCTAGGGGTCAGCCCTAGAAACCATCATGACACTTTCCCTTCTGTTTAATGGGAAGTAGTGAAATGTCTGAGAAGAACATTAACATCTCCTCCTAACGTTTGTATATCTTAAAGTGTTACCACTGGGCACAGCCTGGAGGAGAAAGAAAATAGGAAAATTTTATATGAATGTCTCCAAACATCTCTAAAAAACTGCATTGAAGGGATACAACCATGAGAAGTTATTCTTTCCAGTCCAGGCCATATACATCCACTTGGAGAGGAGGGTGGGAAGAAAGAGGTCACGGGTCAGCATTCAGCCAACTACAGCTCTGCCTTTTCATTCCATTGAGAGAGAAAGTTCTGATCTATTAGTAATTGAATCTCTCTTGGAAAAGGGCATTCATCTTGGGAGGTGGGGAGAACATCACTCCACAGCTGCCAAAGCATAGCTAACTAGAGTTATGAGAGACATAAAACTGTCAGAAAAATTGTCTGCAGAAACCCTTCAAAGAGCAGGTAGATTTGTGCAACCAATGGTAGGAGTTTGCTAGCTGAGCAACTTGGAGGGAAAAAATGGAATAACAGATTAGTCTTTGGTGGCTTGAGGGCATTACCTTGTTTCTACCACAATGGCTCATTAAATCTACCAAGCCAAATGGGTACAGGATGTGGCATTTTACAATCCAGCTCTCCTTAATTGGAGAGAGGTGACTGGGGAGCAACTTAAGAGGTAGGTCATGTTTCAGAGGGTTGATGAGAAATCCAGGATTAAATCTGAGTCTCTTTGGGTCTAAGTCTGTGCACTATATTGGGAAAACTGAATGCTGTGTGTGTTCCAAGGAGCTCTCTCCAAAACTGCAACCCAGTGTAAGGTTGCAGAATAGCCTATGGGGTTGTTTGCTTATGAAATACCTTGTAAAAGATTACCACAGACCATTCAACAGGCTTAGAAGCTAATCTCTAAAATAATCAGAGAGAACGCGACTGAACCCACTGCTTTCTCTAAGATTTCAGTGTGTGTTTAAAGTTTTGTAAAATATTACTGTTTTCCTTTTCTGTGGTTGTAAAAGCAACTCAGATTTCTTTGACATAAAGATGTTGCCTGGAACTGTCACAGCAGGTCTCCAGCAGTACTGCTGTGTGGAAGGGTAAAAATGCAAAAGGTGGAGACAAACAATAGCAACTTAGGGAAGTCAGTTAAGTTCCTGTGCTCTGTGTTTCCTGTCAGCTGCCTCTTTGCCTCCAGAGGCACCTATACCATAGGAAAACACTAGTCTCAAAGGTTTGGATGGAATTCAAGCCATTTCAATATTGTTGTATCAATAAACAGTTAAGAAACTTTCATCTAAGAAGGTACCAACTTGCTTTACAGTCAACGGTTACCGACATGAAGCCTGCCTATTTGCATAGGGAACGCATGATGATATTGGATATAGTTTAGTAGGTTTTATGTCGACAACAGTTTGGGACGATCAAGTTATTTATATGATAGCTTTACCACTCAGCTGGAGAAAAGTCTTCCTAAATTTATATTGGAAGTCCAGGTTGCTTAAACACAGTTCCCTTTTAGGTGAAACATGATATGAAATAAGCTTTTACAATTATTTTAGGATCACTTAGAAGTTTTTTAAAAGTATTTTTATAACAACTGTCTACCTCAGTCTACCTAGTTCCTGACTCCTTCCATATAGAGAATGAGGTTTATGGAACTCAGATTTCTAAAACTTGATTAAAATCGTATTTGCCAGAATAATAGTGTATTGATTTTAAGAATTATGGGAACTTTCAGGGACAGAGAGAAGTAGTCGGACTATGGGAGCCAGCATGTACTTTTTGTCTGAACTTCCATTTAATAAAAAATATAGCTCATTTTTCATTTGTGAAAACTGTTCAAAGAAAGAGGAACTCATTAATACCCCCAAATAGGATCTTTTTTTCCAATAGACTAAAGCTCCAGTTTATAGCCTTTAGGATTCTCAAGGTATCAGGTCTTTTCACTGCCCCTTGAACCAGCATTTGCAGCTTGCCTCGGGTTGGATCTACCTTCAGAGCTGGCCCTGCTCTGAGTAAAGGCATGGACTAGAAGACCTCCAAATGCCCTTTCCAACAAAAATTTATTCTAAGTTCAATTTTAAAGAGGGAAATTCCCCATTAGGAGATAAGAAATAAAGAGCTACCTGGCAGGCTATTTCAAAACACAGTAGTAATTCCTGGAAGCTGCTCAGAAGTTGGAAATATTCCTTGTGCAAACAGTTTAGTGAGTAGAAGTCAGAAGAGAGTTTAAAGGACTGACACAATTTATCACACAGTTTTCACAACTGTACAGTGTAATGATATACATACTGCATGAACAACTTAAACGGGATTAAATTTGCTTAAGGATGGCATCTCCTAAATGTAAACCCTAAAATGAAGGGTGTGCCAAGACATGAAACATTTCAGTTGTATCCAAACAGCATGTTTCTTTTGACAGTAACAGAGAGATTAGTCACCTAATCATAAAAAATTTGAATGAGAAACTCTACAAAATATTCAAAGACTGATTTAAGTTTGAGAATTAAGTGTGCACGGTGTTTACAATGTGCATGAGTTTATGGAGTAGCCTGAAGTTATCAATGGCATTTTGTAACTCATATTTCCTTGCCTTTAAGACTTGTGCCAGATGTATATTTATTTATGAAACAAACCTGTGAGGAACGGAAGTGAGGGACAGGAAGAAAAGGGAAAGCAGGAACACCTTTCTGTTTCTCTCTGCTGCATGAGATTATGTAGAGGAGATGTTTGTGTCGAGAGGAAAGGCTGAAGCAGGGTTTGGGAGCAAAAAGATTTATTATTTTTGAGGGAGAGGGAGCCCAGCAGACCTTCTCAGATGCTCCACGCAAAGGTGCACATATGTTTCTGGAAGATGGAGCAGGCGTATCTGGTCCACTGGGCCAGGACCGCAGGGCAGCAGTTTAGCAGATGTAGCATCCTAGCCCTCATTCTGAGTTCTCTCCACAGGCACTTTCAGCACCAGCGCTGCTTCACAACAAAATCACTGTTGCAATCCCTAGCCAAAGAGCACATTGTGGCCCTTCTTTCCCTTGTTGGAAATAAAACAGAATCACAGAATGGTTGAGGTTGGAAGGGACCTCTGGAGATCATCTAGTCCAATTTCCCTGCTCAAGCAGGGTCACCTAGAGCATGTTACCCAGGATTGTGTCCAGACAGCTTTTGCCATTTGTAATGTAAACAGCTCTAAGTACACATTTCAAACAACTCGGTCTCATAGTTTCAGGGAGGCAAAGAGACTCCAGGCAAAATACATTTTAGCCCACCCGGAGGCACAGAAGAAACAGGAGATAACAAGGTCACCTGTTCCACTCACTACTGATTTTGTGAGCTTTTCAACTGTTTTACTAGCCTGGCCTCGGCACCCAGGTTTGAGCCATCCCTTAGGATTAATATGATAACTATGATTTGACTCATGAGATCATTTCATAGTTGAGAAGAAATCCTAGATTTCTTACAGCTAGAACCTCAGCCCCCTTGAAAGTATTGGCTGAATTTGTGTGCTCAGTCACACTTTCTGTAATCATCTCCATAAACAGTAGGCAGCATTTCCCTTCCAGAGCAGGACTCTTAAGCATTTATTATAGTGGAAATATATCTCTCTAGTAATAGTTGCACATTACTTTCCCCTTTGGGTGGCAATTCTGTGCAGCAGCTAAATAATCATTACCCTTGCAGCTCAAGTGATCATGATCTTTATCTAAGGAATGTGAGGTGTGGTAAAGAATTCAAATTTCTCTGCTAATATTGTAAAGATCCATGTATGCTTAAAACTGGTGAAGGATATGTTTTTAGGGGGGATTACTTAAATCAAGATGACCTGCCACTTAAGTTGAATTTATTTTTCCATGGTTTTATCATGTATGTTTCCAAAAAGAAAAAAAAGAGAGAGGTAGGCAGGACCCAGAAATATGTTTGAAATGAGAATTTAGGTTAGGAACTAACTTCGTGGAGTAGGAGCAAAAGGACAGTGTGGTGTCAGTCAGGAACCAAGCAATGCTCTAGTATTATAGAAAATTAAGGAGCAGCAGTAGTTATAGGCAACTAAGTCCATAATTATAAAAGCTTTCAGAACAAGAAGGCCTTACAGGGCTCAAATAGGGTTTCTAGTGGGAAAGTGACAAAAGCAAAATCTTCCCTATGGAAGGAAGAAGTTGCAAATGAAGATACACATCTCTCACAAGTTCAGTATGTAACAGGAAATCCTCAGGAGATGACAAGAACAGTTCAGTCCTCTTTGCCAGAAATCATACAGTCTAATCTATAGGATGCATCATATACTATGCATCCCATATGGAAAAACAGGACGGCCAGACTCAGCTCTCACCCATCACAGACACATCCTCTATGAAGGAAGATTGTTTAATCAGAGACGTCAATCATTTAACTTGGGCATTTTACCATATCTGTAAGGACCATCCCCAGTAAACAGACATAACACATCAAGAAACTGCCCAAATCTTCATTACATTTTGAGATGGTTAACCCACAACGGCAGTGAGCAGGAAAAATCTCCTTCAGTATCGTTAATATCACTCGGAGAATATCATCGGAAAGAGAACCAAAAAAAATATATTTGGTAGATAAATAGATTTTGAGTAGGCAGCCAGAGATGAGCCTGTTGACCTTCAGGACTCAGGTAATGACAAGCATCTCCTTTCAGGGAGAAAGAATATGATTCAGGATTATAAAGAGCATGATTTGCTCAAAAAAAATCACATTTTTCTGTATAGTGCTATGTGGTCTTTTTTAAACAGAAAAATTATCAAGGATGGCACTTGCAGAGCCACTTGAGAATGCTGTTAATAGTGTTACAGAAAAAAAACTCTAATAATGAAATGTTCATTAAATTCTTACAGATTTCCATATGTCTATTCCCTGCTAAAAACTGCCTAAATACATGCTGTATTGAACTATTTAAAATAGAGTTAAGCTCTCTTATCTTTCTTAGCATGTACTGTTAAACACCTCTGACACCTGGCTAAAGTAGGGACTGTGATATTTCATCAGAAAATGTGGATAAACCAAGGTTTTCCCCAGAGCGTGTAGCATAAAAATCAAAATCATGAGAACCAAAAAAACCACTTGAGAACAAAATCTTTGAGCCAAAACCTAAGAACATCAAAACAAAATATTTAATATGGGGCCAGGCTGGAGCAAACAGAAGGATTTCAGACTGGGGGAGTGAATCCTACCATCATGTTTTAGGATGCTTCTCCACCAAATGAGGCTTATTTTTCCTGGTGTGGTGCTTCAATGGCATTGTAATTCAGCTGCATTAAGCTCCCACATTCTCCTTCTTGGAAGGAACGAAGTACATCTCACGGTATTCCTTAGTCAGCTTCCTGTTATTACTGTGTAATTAGGGATATGTACCTAATGTTTGTTGTGATAATAGGCAATGTGGGAGGCCCTATTCATCGAACAGAAAGACAACATGAATGGCAAGTTTCACGAACCATTGTCAATATGAAACATTTCAATTCATATATGTCATAACAGTGGTTTTATATCAAAAGTGTCAAAGTATATACTTTAGACAGTTCTGCACAACCAATTAACAATTTCTAGCTCAAAGACAGCAGATGAAAATTTTCAAAAAAACAGTATTTTTACAAAAAAAACTGATTTTCTTCAATGCTATAGTTTTCTAAAAATTTTTAAAGGAAAAATAGAATTTCCTTTCAGATACGTGCATTAATTCTACCAAATAGAAACCTTTCATTTTTTGAACTGACCCAAAATAGTTCGTTTCTTTATTTTATCTCTCCCCTAGAATACTTCAATACTTTTTTTTCATGAACGCCTCCTTCTCAACTCTGTTATTGCTCTCAAGGCTTCTGTGAGAAGATGTGTTGAACCATTTGTAAAACTGCAGTGGCACTGATGTTGTCACTTTGTGAGTGACTTTTTTCTTAAAAGCCTGTGATAAAGAACCTTTTTAAGGTTCTATAAGGGTCAGCTACTTCATTTAGAAATGTGTGAACTGCTGAAGTCATCTCCATATTATACCATTAAGCAACTGGGCATTTTGTTGTTGGCTTAGAGATATTTGGGCTGCTATTATGTCCATCATTCCATTTATTGTAAGAGAATTAATTAAAATTAATCCAATAGCTAATAATGTATCCTTTTTATTCTCAGCGACAGCATGAATCAGGCACCAGGACAATGATTTGGTTTTTCCAGTGTCATATTTCTTGAGGTTGGACAAATCACTTAATCTGTCTAGGTCTCGGTTTCACCTCATATGAATTGGGTATAATAATAATTTTCTTCACATCTGTTTTGCACCTCTAGGGGGAAAATGTTGCAAAACATCAAGTGTTATTATTTCAGTTACTCTAACATTTTCAGTTACTCTAACATTTCAGTTACTCTTACCATTTGAGACAGAAGGGCATTTACAGCAGCCTATTCCTTACTGACGCAAGATGTTTGGTGTGCTGATGAGATTACACAACTAAAACCCAGGAGCCAATCTGTTTCTGATAATCTCCCTCAGAGATTATCTGAGTTGTTTGTCCAAGATAACTTTCCTCAAATTATCTGGACTTCCTGGGCTACAGAACAGTGTTGACCACTTCATAAGAACATAAAACAAGAAGTCCAGTCTTTCTGGCAGTCTCTGAGCGCACAGGTGTGCAACAAAATTATAAACGATAAGAACTATGGGGTTTGGATAAAACTTTGGAAAAGTTCCTATTAGCATTTCTGAAAAAGGGCAGAACAGCTCCTGTGATAGTTAAATGAGTCCATTCATTTTAATCAGCTCTGTCCATGGTGCTGATTTCTTTTTAACAAGATTAATTGGAATTAAAACATCATTAGGTGGACATAAGGAATATTATGTTAATGCAAACCTATTTAAACTTCTGGGATCCTTTATAGTTTAAGGAATCTATAAATGTACAGCTATTTTCAGGTTATGTTTTGGCTCACAGATTTCTAGCCATTTTTTCTAGTAATAGATCAACAATAGAGATCTATTTACCTATGGCTAATAGGATGGCAGGGTGAGATTTAAAAAAAAAAAAAAAAAACTTCTGCACTGTTATTGCCGCTTCCTAACCGCAACTGACATGTGATCAATTGCAATACCACTGGGAAACATTAAGCCTGTACAGTTTTGCGACAGGAAGTCATCAGCACTGTATCTATCTAGAATTGCAGGAAGAAATTAGTTTGGCACAGAGGTGAGCTTGAATTTGGCTAGATATGAGAGTAAATCAACTAGCTCATGAAGTGCTATGGAACTTGAAAGGAAACTCAAATGGCTCATCCCCAAGTTCATAACTCTTCTTAAATTCAGTGCAGCCAGCAACACAACAATCATTTCCTGATTATTCGTTCAAAGATAAGACCATCCTTAACTGCTTCCTCCATCTGCCATTTCTCCTTTGGAGTCACTGATTGAAAACTGAATAATTTTATTTAACATAAGAAAGTTGGCAGAAAATACAGCTGTGAAACTCTGACAGCCATTTACTTTTTCGAATATATTTATTCCTTAGGCTTATCAGAAGGAAAAAGCTTCTTTTTTCCCCCCAAAATTTTGTTTTTTCATTTGCTTTTTTTTTAACTAGACAAAAATCCAGAGATATCTTACCTGCCTGCTTTAGTGATGATCATCTCTGTCCCAATATCATGGAATCTTTTCCAGAGGTCAGCACATTGCAGCTCTACCTGGATCTCTTCCATGGATGAAGGAGGAGGAGGCTGAGGACCTGAGCCACCAGATGTAAGGTCAGAATGGGAGCCAAATGAACAGGATGTCCTTTCTGCCAGCACCTCTGTGTCTGACCCAGTGCTCTGCTCTGAGTCTGCAAGGCAAATACACCAGCTTAGACACTTCAGTTCTACCTGCTGTGAGTAGAAAGGGGAGGGAAGAAGAAAGCCAACAAGGGAAGCTCTAAAGAATGGTACAATGGCCTTTTATCATATATGTTTTTATGATTTATTGTGATTTATGAGCTGATGTGGGGCTTTGGGTTTCCAATATGACATGTGGCATTTTTGTAAAGCTTTAGAAACAGCTGAAAAAAATACCCTCAACATAAAATATAAATAGTAACAAACATCACCACAATGCCGGGAATGGAGCATAAAATGTAGAATGTAGACAAAAAAAATAGAAATGAAAAAAAAATTAATTCAACCCATAGCTTCAATCCAAGATTAGATGGGCTCACTGGAAAACTACATTCCATTTAATTGAACATCCTCCCACATTACTATTGCAGAGTTGGTTATTTTTAAACAACAGTTTTTTCCTTTTAATAGCCTTGTCATCAAAAATAATGAGCGTTTTTTATTTTGCTATTTGGCAGTACCACTTTGGAAATGTGTTTTACTTGCTCCTATAATATCTTTTTTGGAATAATGACATTTTTTTAGAAAATAATCATGCAGCTTTTGGTGAGGGAAATGCTCTAGGCTACTGAAGGACAAAAGGAGATGGTAAACATATGGAGTATGTTACCAGGGAAAGCAACTGAAGCAAACTGCATAAAAGACCACATGAGACAACCACCTTTCTTTGTGGTGGAGAAAAAGAGCAATACTTGCACAGAAAATAAGCAAACAAACAGAAAAATGAGGTCAGATCAGATTAAAAGAGCAGGCTGGCCCACTGAGCCAAAAGATCATTTATTTTGCCAAAAATATCTCGTGTACTTGTTAGGTAGGTATGGTACATATAAGGCCCTAGCTCATATGATACAGCTATGTTGGAATTTTGCTAATAGCAGCGTTATTTTGCACCAGGATGCATACTGACATTACATCAAAATAATTCACAATGCATTCTGCAGAGCACTGTCTTTATATTTTGAATCTGATTTATAAAAAATTGACATTAGTATTAAATAAATGATTGACAGAGCAATAAATTGATGTGGAGCACTCGGTAAAATGGATTCAGAAGAGCTCTGTAGATTTCAAAGACAGTACAGAAACAACACATCAGAATGTACTCACTGATTACTTAAATACAGGCATCCCAGTGAAGGAATAAAACAGCTATTTATATATATTAGCTGCACTTTACAAGAAAAAGAGAGAGATCTCTGTCTGCAGGAGAAACTTAGGGAGACAAAAAGTAGCAATCTGTGTTAAAATGTGGTGAAACCACCCCAGCTAATATTCCTTCCATACCAGGCAAGCGCCACAGACTCTTTAGTAACCATGAGGTCACGTAGGCTGGGTCTCAGATTCACAGTGTTTTTGAAAGACAGTGTCTGCAAGAGCAGTTTGCATTCCAGGGCAGAGGGTGGTGGTTTAGAAAGGGTAGAGGGCAAAGACCGCCTACCTGCTGGACCTTCAGCTCCACCTCCTGCCACATGGAAATATTTCTGGAACTTCCTACTGCAAGAGTGGCATTCGCATAAGCTGCTTGGCTGGTAGTATATAAGGAACTTACAGACCTAAGTGTCATCAGGAAGCCTTTATTTTCTAGCGGAGCCCCAGGTGAGTACATCATTGGATAGTGGACTCACTTGAACAGGCCTTTCAGTAAACTTCTCCAATGATTTAAGCAATATGTTTGTACACTGCAAGAATTCTGTAGGAAGGCATAGAGATTTGTCTGTATCGTTCCCAACCCAATTTTAAATAGCTGGTCCCAAATATCTCCCACTGACATCCTAGAAGGCTTGAAGCTGTAATGGGTCATCCCTTTAAAGGTATAGTACAAACCCACCCCCAGAGGGCTGTTAAATGGAGAAAGTACTCCACCTAAACCTGATATGTTAGACATAAGCTGATTCAAGAAGATATGAGATAGCTTACTGGGGATCTGTGACCAAGAGATAGAAAGTGAGTCTGGGAGTACGGAGGGGCTGAGGCATTTGCTGCCTGCATTAGAAGCCCAGTGATGCAACAACAAAGTGGTACTTACCTGCTTCCTCTAATTCAAACGATTCCTCCTAAGGAGGTTGGAGGGGGTGAGCTACAGTATGGATTATTTCACTTAAGACACTTGTTTTCCTAGTGGCAGTTAATCACTTTATCCTTTAAGAAAAAACAAGAGTATGCTTCACAAATCAGTGTAAGACCTTTTCACATGTCTACCCTTGAGCTGAACCATTAATTAGAAGGCTTGCATCTTCTCTGAGATTATAAGAAAGTGAAGATAAACTACAGTGGGGTATCTGAAGAGACTAGATGTAGGGAA